TATATATATATATATATATATATATATATATATATATATATATATGTATATTTATATACGAGTATTATTGCATACTTAAGTAAATAATATGTATATATATATATATATATATATATATATATATATATATATCTTTTTACAAAATCGTTTGAACGCTTTCCTCATTACATATTTCGTCGTTGTTGCTGCTGTTAGAATCGAAATTAATGTCATTGTTGTTGTTGACGTTGTCAAGTTGTTGTTGTTGCTGTTGTTGTGGTTGTTGTTGCTGCTGTAAGGTTGTAGCGCCAGTTGAATCTATGGCTGAATTTGTCGTTGATGATAAATGTGATGTTGTTACTGGCGTTATTGTTTGCTGGGGTGGTGTTGCATCTGATTGCATGATTGAAGCTGTTGTTGTTGTTGTAGAAGATGCTATGGATAATGTTGACGTTGTCGATTGCAAATTTTGTTGATGGTCAGCTGGTTGTTGAGATACAGCAGAAGTAAAACTCATCAAATTATTATCTACAAATTTATTTAGAAAAAATTTAATGGAATTTCATTTGAACGCACGCACGCACACACACACACACACACACGCACACAAACACACACACACATACATAAACACGCACACACACACACACATACACACAGAAATAGTTATATAAATAGATATTTGATTCTTAAACACAAATGAAAAAATTGAAGTATTTAACGTTGGTAATAACCTAACCTAGATACTAATATAAATACAAGACCCTAAACTGACCTGTTATAATTACTGGTTCATCAACGACATTGACTTCACGTTCGGATGAATAGCTACTGTTGTTGTTGATGTTATTAACATTGTAGTTGTTGTTGTTGTAGTTGTTGTTGTTGTTACTGATGTTGTTGTTGTGATTGCTGTCATAGGATGATGTGTTAATTTTGATAGTTGAACTCTTATTAAAAACATTCATAATTTTGTTGCTGTTGTTGCTGTTGTTGTTATTACCGATGTTGTTGCTTAACTTAATGTTGCCGATGGCGCTGACAAATTTTTCTGTTTTGTTGTTGTTGTTGGTGGTATTGTTGTTGGTCGTTTTGTGGTTGTTACTACTCAATTGGTAATCTTTATTTTCAATGTTAACTGCTGTAGAGAAATAAACTGGATGCAACATTGTTGCTGTTGTTGTTGATGTTGTTGTCGTTGTTGTTGTTGATGTTGTTGTTTTTGATGTTGTTGTTGTTGTTGTCGTCGTTGATGATGTTGTCATTGTTGCAGCTAACTTTCGTTGCTTATCTTGTTGCATGAGCACCTTCATAAGCCTCAAAAGCAGACTGTTGAGTTTAGTTGTAATGTTTAATACTGGTGTTGTTGGCAGTAGTACAGATGCATCTTGCTGTTGTTGTTGGCGGTGATGATGATGATCGTTTGTTGATGTTAATGACGTTGTTGTTGATGTTGCGAGAGGAGGCGTTGTTGTTGTCAAAGCTGTTGTTGTTTCCTCCACGTCTGATTGGTTATCTGGTTTTGAAAATTGAAGAGTAAAATTTGAATCATTTTATTTTCAACAGCAACTAATGAGAGCAAGAATATTATTACATCAACAACGACACCATCAACAAAAATGCCATTAACCTCAACAACAACAGCAACAAAAATGTTATTGACATTGTCAAGAATGACAATAACAATTTAATATAAGACGAATACTTGAGCAAACAAGCCCAACCCCATACCGATATTGTGTGTGACGATCTCAGCGAGTCGATCCGTTTGCGATAACATGGCCAGCAGTAGTTCCCGCACATCACTACTTTCTGGCTCCTCCTCCTCCACCATCTGTCGACCAATCAGAAAATAAAATTTGATATACACCAGCATTGTCATCAACCAATCATAAAGTTGGATATAACAATATAATTTATTCATCTAAGAATATAAATAAATTATAAATATAATAAAATAATTATGAACGCACGCGAGTTACTGATTGTAGTTGTTGCGGTTGTAGACCCAGAAGTTTCGACACAAGGTGTCTCTTTTCCGCCAGCAACCTATCCAACTCCAAGCTCGTTCTCCTCATACGATCTGTTGTGTGCAATCGGCAACATATTCAGTGCTCCATCTTATCCTACGCCAACTCAGTACAACGTTGTAAAACACTCCAAACCTAATGACACACTACCACACACTAACAACAACACACGACACGACAGACTCCAGTTACAAACGCCCACTCACCCATGACGCTTCCGTATTGATGGGGCGGCAACTGTCGCTCCAATACTTCCAAAGTTGACACCTTGACTTCGGCCGGTTGAACGAGACGACTGAAATCATCATCGTCGCCATCGTCATCATCATCGTCGTAGCCGTCGACAGTGGCGCGTTCGTCGTCTAGACAGCTGCGATCGGCTGACTCGTCGAGGCTGTCGTTGCTCTTCGTGTCACTCATCATCAGAGCTTGTAATTTGTCTTCCGCTGACGAGTTTAGCTGGATCTGTCGGGGGCGGCTGTGAAATAAATATGTGTGTGTGCGTGCGTGCGTGCGTGCGTGTGTGTGTGTGTGGATAAAATATTTCATTGACGTTAACCCAGCCAGTACAACACACAACAACTAACTATCCGTGATCCACACTAGCGTATTTAAACTGGTTGATATCATCTGGAACAATGGAGGAAACGACAGAGGATGACAGCGGCATAGAACCGGACTGTTCGACCATCTCTTCCTCATGCGTACCTGTGGCCACCACATCGCCCCCACCACCACTGCAAGCGTAATCATCGTCGCTGCTGAATCCACCGCTTCTCGTAACGGCAACACTACTGCCGCTAGCAGAAGCACTAGCGGATGTATAAACGGCACTGGATGCGTAGTGACCACTGATGCCATTGTGTATTTTAATGCGGCCGATACCAGTGGTTGCAGTGAAATGCGAGATGGACTCACCAGTGATGCAACCGCTGCCAGACATGCCAGCGTTCGCCGTGTCGAAGCTGTGTAAGAGGGAGTTGTAGGCGATGTTGTATCGCAGTCGGTACGATTCTGCTGCCTCTGAGATCAGACGGAACCATCTGCATGGTGGTGGAGATGATTATGATGAACAATGACGATGACGATGATGGTGGTGATTAATGGCTTGAATGATTCATGAAAGATATTGAAATAAAATTGGAAATTAATATTACTTTTTCTTGTCTTCAACAGTTGGCGCGATGAACTCATATATCTGACAACACTCCTCTATCATTCGAACCAGGAAGAAACCCTTCTTCTCTGCCGGGCAAATAAATTCAATTCAATTATAGGTGTGTAGAAGTTTTATCAATCTATCAATCCAGCTTTTTATCTATTCGTTTGTTCATTTACTTCTTGAACGCTAGCTCATTCTAAAATTTATTTACTAATCAATCCATTTTTCTATGTGTATACACATCCATCCACCGTCTATCCATCTATTCATTCATCCAACAGCAGCAGCAGCAGCAGCAGCAGCAGCAGCAGCAGCAGCAGCAGCAGTAGTAGTAACAGTTACAAACCAGTAGCAACATGTCTCATGATCATGTAGTTGAGTTTGACGATGGGATTGTGGATGTTCTCCTTCAGCTCGTCCTTCCCACTCCCTTTTATGCTATCCTGAATGGATTTTTCTAGATTAAAATTTTTTCTTGAAATATTTAAAAAAAAATTAAATCAAAAATTTTTCAATTTTTGAGAATTTTTGACATTTTTTAAAAAATTTAAATTTTTTTTATAATAAAATTTAAAAAAATTAATTTATTAAAACTGTCGAGAATTCTTTCACCATAAGCACTTGCCAACAGATAGATGGACAGGTAGATGAATGAATCAATAGATGGATGGAAAGAAAGAAATGATAGACAGATAAATAAATAATCAATTGGATGAATGAATAGATAGATAGACAGACATCCAAACAACTAACAAGCAAGCAAACAAACATACAAACAAACAAGCAAACAAACAAACAAATAACGATACCTTGTTGAAATCTTTGGAGTTGTGAGCCTTGAGGACCAGTCTCTCTGAATCTGGAACCTTCTGCAGAAGGACCATGAAGTCTTCCAGCAAAATGGCATGGATGTCTACCTGCTTGTTCTTCGACAACTTCCAGGTCATCGGTCCGTCGAATATCAAACGATGTCGGGTCAGGTCAAGTTTCTGGGTCAAAAGGTTAAATTATTTTTAGATATCGGATGGTTAATATTATGAGATATTTTTTGAAAATTTTAAAAATGATTAATAAATATCTGTGTAAAAATGTTTTATTTTTAAGTAGTATTTTTAATATTTACAAATTTATTAATTAATTCGTTCTACTATATCTATTCATTAATTAATTCATTCATTCACCTAGCCATTTATTTATTCATCCATTTCATACATCCATCCATCATCCATTCATTCATTCATCCATCCAATCACCTCAATCAATCAATCAACCAATCAATTACACGCATCCGGCAACAAAACAACTGACCTTGAACTCAGCAAGGTTAGGGTCAGTTGAGGCCTCTATGGCTCGCTTGTCCAGCCTTTTCTGCATGTTGATCAGCTTCTGGTGGTTTTCTGCCTCCTCTATGCAATGGTTCACGAAGTTCAGGATTGACTTTGCGTGCGTTAGAGAGCGATTCAACACGTCGAACTCCTCCGTGTTTGCTAATTAGCGTTGGTTGTAAATGTTAGCAGAGGAATTAAGCTGATGTCATCATGTCAATGAGTGTAAAAAGTTGATGTCTTCACTGTCAATGAGTGAAAAAGTTGATGTCATTATGTCAATGAGTATAAAAAGTTGATGTCTTCACTGTCATAAACATTATCTATATGAGTGAAAACATTAACAATGTTAATGTGTGTAATTTTAACGCTGTTATATTCCGTATCATCAGCGACGTTCTTATCACCAGAGTCACGAATCATTCCCATCATCAAAACACCAACATCCCCTCCATAGCATCATCACCATCATCATAACGAACTCTGCGTGTATTTGAGTAGATT